CTCGTTCACTCTGTGGCCTTATTATTCGTTACTGCTATCATTGGTCTGATCACTCTGCGTAACTGTTATGATGATCGAGGAGATTGTGCGTTTGTGTGGGTTTACGTTGCGCTCACACACACACACACATACACACACACACACACCCCCACCACCCCCTCCAGTGCTAGCTGACATACGTATCGGCCGCACAAACGTCTGTGATGGATGGGTTGTACACACTGGCTCAGCCAGGCCTTGTGATGGTGAGTGAGAAATACGCTGCTTTGTGCAGATATTCATAATGTAAATGTTGTTGTCCTAAGTGGGGCTGGGAGACAGATAGGTTTGTGTTGCTGTCAAGGGGATGGTTGATTGGCCTGTTTAATCCTCTCGTCTGCATCTATGTTTCACACACGCACACGCATACGCACACACACACACACACATATATAACTATATATACATGAACTAGGCCTGTGTTATGGCGCCTAATGTGAGAACTCAGTTTGTAGATCAGGGCACCAGCCAAGCATTATCGTCATTATTATGATGACTCTCCTCCCCCCACTGTATTATAATTCAACAGAAAAACCAATCTGTATTCCTCCTGATTTCCTCCCTCCTCAAGTCAGTCCCACAGTATTTCTTCCTCTCTGCCTCTCTTCTCATATTCTTGCATTATTTCTCCCCTGCCCTGCGTGACGTGTCTCTGTGCACTCTGACGAGCTGGATGAATATAAAACTAGTTCCACCTTGGCTTCGATTACCACACATATGCATGTGAATTTATATGAGGGGGAAATTCTGCTTGCCATGGCTGGCTTGATTCCAGTGGCATGTGCTGAGGTGAAAGTGCCATGGACACACACACACAAACATGTAAACCCCAAGCACACAAACCCATCTAGACACTGGGTTTATTCAACACCTTAATCGCTTCCGAAATATACAACTGATAAATTAAGAGATATCACCAGAAATCTATTATGCAGATCAGTCAACTGCTGCATTATTAGATCACACACGTATATATGCATGTACACTCTTGTGTGCACGCACGCACACACACTCACAGCAGTGGTTAATTGCCAGGTGGTGGGGGATAATGTGTGATTTAACGGACTGATGGATTTGTTTTTGTTTGAGTCACACGTCAGTGAACAGAGACATCTGTAACGGGGCAAACACGCGCACAAAACAGTGCACACCATTATACACACACATTCGTGCCCAGGGATATCAATGACAAGTGACTGATATGCAGCGGCAACAGCCTCTGTGCAAAATGCAAACACAGGAAATGATCCATCTTCTCAAAGTTTAAAAAAACTCCAGAACAGGGACATGAGAGTGTGATTGTGTACACACACAATCAGAAATGTATGCGAATACACTTGTGCACATGCACAGATGTGAGCGAGTGTGTATGTGTGTGAAGCGGTTAATCCTTGGTAACATTCTCAGCCTGTCTCTTGTGGTTGATGAGTCGCTCTGGGTCAGACGCTGGTTGAGAAACTGCAGGGTCCTGAGGCCTTACAATGTGTTTACCACTCAAACTGACAACTATACTACAGCTTATTACTGGCCTTCTAAAACTCAACACTGCGAGTTAGAGAAACTCCAGAGAGGCCCATTGCCAGCGGCCAATGACGCGCCAGCCAACCCTACAAACGCTGCATGTTGAATGCCGTGAATAAAATAAAGGCTGTGAATCGGATCTCTGCCATTGAAAATGGCTCAAACGTGTATGAAAGAGTAGATTAGATAGGTTATCCTGCGGTTTATCTCTCTTTTGTGTGCCATGGTCTGTGGACCCTTTGTCTCTTGATTCACTAAGTGGGCTGAATTGAAAAAAGTTATCCCCATGCACTCACGGCTCATACATTGTCATCGTGAATGTGTGCAGTGAGACAGCGAGAGAAGAGAGAGTGAGAGTCAGAGATGGGAGGATCAGGGATGAGGCAGGTCCACTGAGATGCACCAGTCTTTAATTAACCACAGTCTTTTATAAAAGACACACAGATAGGAAGGCTCACACTGCAGGGGCTAAGAATATTCTGCCGCTGGGTGAAAAACAGAACTGGCAGTGAACGTGTGGAGAGAGTGATGAGAGACTGTGGGGCTCTGCAGTGCTCAGGCCCTGGACAGTCAGGTTAAAGGTTAGAGCTGCTCCAGACACCTTTACTCATCCCTCTGCTTTGTCTCAAACACCAGCTGCAGCATCATTTCAAGCAGTAAACACAACAGAGAACAGCTGACAAATCAGTTAACTGAGGATACAGTCTACCAAGGTTAAAACTCCTCACGTTACGTCGAGCTGATTATACCGAGGTCCCGGGTTCATCGTCCTTTTCCTTCATGCCTTGAGGCATTTTATTCCACACATTTTATCTTAATCAACTTCTGTCTCTCATATGAAACCTAAAGGTGGAATTTCATTAGCATCAAATTATTACCCAGTCAAAAAAAATTTGAAATTGAAAATGAGAACTCTTTACATTGAGAGTTGCAGAAAAATACCAGGACCAGATGCAACTACTCGCGGAATATTAGTTTCTCGATAATCTGCGGAAATAATTTTCTCACATTCCAGGAAACTAATATTGTTTACACAATCGCAGCAAAACCAATAACCTTATTTTTTTCCTCCCCTATTACTTTACGCAGCTCTTCATGTAAAGTAATTCTGCTGCGAGGCATAAATTCACTCGCATCTCCTGGTTTTATTTCACACTGCAAACAAAAAAATCGTTGGCCTAAAGTTATTGTGGGAGAAAACAATCAGTTTTCGCGTTGTTTACGTCTTTAATAAGCGGCGTCGTAAAATGCGTGTCGCCCTGCATGTGACTGCTCATCTCAGGGGAACAGTACTTTCCAGTGAAGGGGTAAATACCACACACTGGAGTGTCGCCTGGCAGCCGAAACATAGCTCACACATAAGACAGGCTATGCTGCAAGATGGAGAGCGAAAAGGAAGGAGTGTGTCGGTGTGTGGTGACATGCGCTCTTGTGCACCACTGAGACCTACAATTTAGGTTGATTTAAAAAAATTTTTTACGGTTTTTTAACTCCTTGTAGCAGCCTTGGGTACAATCAAGGGCTCTGTTAATCCAAATTCTTGTTATTTATTATTATCGATTGTTGCACTACTTTATGACCTTGAAATAGGTTGTAACTTGCTGAAACGTCCACTAAAAATCGGAAAATATTTCAGGTCAATTTCAACTTTTGGCTGAAAATTAGCCACAAATGTGATGTGGAAAAACACATTAAACATGGTACAACACAGATGGTGCAAGAACTTACAAGATTGTGAATCCTAGGAGGAGAGGGGATCAGTGTGTTGCAACAGACCGACACTACATTCTTAAGAATCCAGCAGCAGAGCCATGGACTCACAAGGACAGTATTAAAAAGGCAGCTTTCGGGAAGAAAAAAAAAAGAGGGGGAGAGAGGAGAGAAAAGCTTTTTCACTCGGATCGAGATAGGGCCGAGGAGCGAGGGATTAGAGGGATAACAAAAAGGCCAACGTACTGAGTGTAAACAAGAAAGGGGGGTTAGAGGAGGATAGAAGGAGAGAGCAAGTATGGAGAGGCGGCGCAGAGGAGAGATTGAATAGTGACACTGCTACAACACAATGGGGTCAGGATGAAGAAGCACTCCTAATTGAACCAGATAGAGGAGAAGACAGAGATAGAGCCCCTGAAAGACTGAGGAGAGGAGGAGGAGGATCACATGTGACTCTTTTTCACTTTCTACTCCTCCACCATGGAAGAAACTGAATGGCAGTGGGCACAGATTGGCTGAATATGTTGGAGCAGCTGTGCATGTGAGGGTGTTGAGAAGATGCTTTGGGAAGCACCATGACCCCACAGTCGGGGGGTCTGCACACAAAAAAACTGGTTTTCAGAGTTTGTGTGGATCTAAATCATTTCTTCCACGTAGAAGAAAGAAAGATGCACACAAATGGAGACATGTGCAAGAAAGAAACTGCACATAAATCACAAAGGTTTGAAGGTATGAGCCTGACACATCTGGCAGTTGCAGACCTAACATCTGCATTTCCTTTCCACTTTTTTAAACAGGTTCATGACAGGGATCATGGGAGATCACACACACACACACACACACACAGAGAGAGAGAGAGAGAGAGAGTAGGAAATGAGGTCTTACTGTATGTTGGAGCTGTTCCAGTAAACCGAGTGTCTATTGGCTGACACCTGGAGCACGCTCGCCCAGGTGAGACTCGTTAGCACCCAGAGAGGCAGCGCCACCAGAGCCATGCTCCCCGTCTCCTCTCTCGGCCTCTGTCCCCCTCCTCCTTCCTCGGTCTCCCTCCGTCCACTCTCTCGGTCCCTTCACCCCACCAAACCACGCGACTCAAACATCCCAGCAAATGCCTGCAGCAGACGGGAGGAGACACAAAAAAGAAGGAAAAAGCTTCATGCATGCAAACAAAAAGACTCTGGTTAATAAGTGTTGTAAAACTCAAAAGTCTATTGTCCCCCCACCAACCCCCTTTTTTCCTCCCCCTATACAGCAGGCTCAGCCCTCCCCTTCCTTTAAAAAAATCCGTGGGGCTTCAAACAAGGGAAGGGGGGGGGGGTCCTTGGTCCTCTCTTCTCACCGGGATCTGCAGCTTCTGAGCCCGCCAGAGGAGCGTGGGAGGCCGGTGCGCTGGATCCGAGCGGGAGGTCGCGCTGGCTTCCCCCGGGCATGAAACGGATCCTGTCCGGGTCCCTCTGGGTAGGAGTTGCTTACGTGAAAATGAAAATTGAGGAAATCAGCTGTAAAAAAATAAATAAAATAAATTGCAAACAAGTCCTTCTCTTCTTTCTTTCTTTTTTCTCTAAGTCAGCTGCAGTTTTCTTCCTCCCCTCCTTCCTCCCCAGGTGTCCGGGGATGCGGTGCACGCACGCCGGGCTCCACTGAGCTTCAGTAATCGCTGCAACAATTCAAGCAGCTACTTTCATTAGGTCTCCAGGACTCTATCCGACAACCATCGTTTACGGTGTGTGCAGCCTGCCAGCCAGTCTCTCCTCCCTCCTTCCCTCTCTCTCTCTCTCTCCCTCCCTCTCTCTCTCTCTCTCTGTTTGGTAGGCATCACTCGTTCACTTTGTGACTCCTCCCCCCAGCCAGCGACAAAGCGCATTCCTCAGAACAGGGATCGAGCTGCAGACACATCAGGCATCACTGCGATCGCAAGTTTTTCTTCCATCTTCCATCTCTTCTTAGTTCTTCCATTATTCGACCTCCACTGCAAAAGTAGACAGCTGTGAACCCCCCTCCTCTGTCTGCAGCCACCATCTGCAGTCAATCCCCCCCCCCCCCCACACACACACGCACACACTCATACTTTTGCATTTTGATCCCAAAAGGCTGAAAAACACCCCTGAACTCACACACACGTGTCCCCCTCCTTGCTGTGGACACCCAGACAATGTGAGTCAGTGTTAATGTACAGTACATTAACACTGACTCACGCACTCGCGCACGTGCATGTCCCAGCACTTATAATCTCCACTCCCCATAAGTTAATGATTTTAATCATTCTTCTGTGCAGTTCACAACTATAAAAGAGACAAATATTACCCCTCATTTTACAGGATTTCTTTGTACAATTAGAAACTATATCAAGTTTGTTCAACAGAGACACTAA